ATAGCTTATACTTGAGCCAGTAAGAGTATTCTTTCAGCCTCATCGGCAGAGCCCAGTTTCACCCTCAATGGAGGTGGCTTACCTTAAGGTTCCTGAACAACCCTGTACAGTCTGCACAATTTTGCTGAATTGATGTCCAGCCCGAATTCGTTGTACAAATTGGACCACTGTTCCCGATCAAACACAGCATTTTGTTCAAGCGGACTATCACTGCACAGGAGTATATTAAACAGGATAAGGGAATTCGAACGACTGAATTCAGATTTAGGTTTGGTTTTTGGCTGTTTGTCCTCCTTTGTGGGGTCAGTCACTTTAGATCTCATCAGGTTATGACTAGTTTTTAAATGTTACTGTGCTTGCTAGCGAATGAAAGTGGTGCTCTGGCAATTCCATCTCCCCCTGCTGTTCTAGGTGTAAGCTTGAGTCTTCAGTTTATGAAGAATGATGTTTCCAGTCGTCTGGGCCGCAGTATCATTCCTACGGTTTAACCATATTTTGTGGTGTTGTGTTATCAGGTGGAGCGCTGCATCAGACTGTGTCGAGATGGAAGAGTGGTGTTCTGTTTCTGTTACCGGGCGACAAGCTGTGTGAGACTGTGCCAGGGTGACGAAATGGGCGAATGTACGAGAACCATGGGCACGTGTTATTTCGCATAAGCTCATGGCATGGTTTCGGTACCCCTTTGTCACAACGGAAGTGCATCCACAGTTTGCAAAAATTGCATTCAAATGCTGAGTTAGTTTTAGAAATGACAACACCTCAGGCCTGATATTCGTCTCTTTTTCTAGATGACGCTTTCGAGGTCTTATGACGTCTTGAGCATTCCCCTTTTGCAAGTATTGGTTTTGTAGGGATTTGGTTTGATTGCATGGAGGGTTTCATCATGAGCTGGTTTTCCAGTGGTTCTCTAACTGATGTCAGCTCATGATGAAACCCTCCATGCATTCCCCTTTTGTTTTGCTGTGTGTCACGCACTGACTTCCAACGGATACAGGTTTAGTATCATGTCCACCTGGTTTTTCCTATGCCGTTTCAATGCTAGGCTGTGGAAATGTGGGCATAGAGTCAGGACGGTGGAGATGTACACGGGTTTTTAGAGTCGGTATCTGTGATGGGTTTGATGTCCCTGGGTTACTGCCTCCTCTGGCCGAAGCCCTTTTAAGTACAAAATATGGTGTTTTAGTGCTTTTTTAAGGCTACTTTGTACCGCCATATTAACAATTACTAAAACTTATGCTATATGAACAAGAGATAGCAACAGTGTCTACCCAACAGAATAAGGACAAAAAATTGATAAAGTACAAGATAAGGTTTTCGACTTTGTCTAGTATGTTTTGGTTACTCGACTTCACAGCAATCACGTTGCAGACCAACAAATCTTGTTTATCTGAACAGGTGAGGAAGATGCTGCTACAAACGTAGCACCTGAAGCTTTGGCAGTAGTTGGAGACAACTGGACTTGCCACATAGATTTGATGTGGAGGTAATGGTGGAATCTAATTCACGGGTTGTAAGATCGGGTTTCTCAAGCGGATAATTCACAAAATAGGTATTTTGTGGCTAGAGAGGTCAAATTCAGTCAATGACGATGCTTCGTATAATACTGTGTAAATTGCTTCTGCATGCGTAAAATGACTTTACGGATATCATTCCATTATCTAATATTATGTATATCCCGTGTCAACGATTAGTTGTAAACATGCTTACTCCATGTACATATCATCTATCATATCGATGACTATAGACTGGCATCCTACAAGAACAGAAACAGAGGATATATTATTATTACCCGTACTCTGAATTCTTCAAGGTAAGAACTATTTTCTTTAGTGGTTTCATCTCATGCTTATCATTGTGTGGCCTTCCAGGTAGATATCACCTTACGTATATCTTCGAATCTCTCCCAGATTCATGACACCGTATCTTGGACGAAACATAATTTTCAAGCATATAACATAGCTGGTCAGCCAGGCGACAGTTTTGAGTAATTCATACCAAGAAAAATAATATTCTAGGAGTGAATGTAAGCCTGAATTTCTTTTGCTCGAGTATGTAAATTTAAAGTCACCTTTAATTTGATGACATAAACGCATACACTCGCATCTGTCCCAGAAATTATGGAATTTTCCACCACCTATCTTTAAGGTCATTCGTGTCGGTAGACCCACCTCAATTTAGATTGCCAGGGTTCTGCTAGGATGGTATATACCGCCACTGGCCGACAGTCGCTGGTTCGCAAATTCGAGGTAATGTTTGCCCCAAAGCATGTATGCCTTGCTGATTGATTACATATATTACATATGACTATCAAATAATCGGTCCAAAAGCTTGTGGGATGAGTAGGGCAATTAAACTCCTTCCGTGCAGTAGTGAATATCTGGTCAACCAAAGCGGCAGCTGTAACTTTCACCTTCTAAGAAACCTATTCGTTAGGCTGCTTGTACAGATTCGAGACCATTTCCAGTTGGCCTCAACTAGAAACACCACTCATGATTGACGTATGGCTATCATTCCTGCTAGGCCTGAGCTCTAGCCACAATACCTGATGATTCTTTGGCCCGACACACCTAAGCTGATGGTCAGGCTGTCCTTAACTCTGCCCCAACTAACGGATTGAGAATGCAATACTCACGGCTGCTGAAGGATGGACTTATTGACGATGAGTGTGCAAGTAAACAATCACACCACGACGAGGATGATGAATTCTCGTCCCTTGAAGTTATCTTGACCACCATGTTTTTCAATCCACACGGATAAATTAACTGATCGCTGACGGCGAAACAGCTGAGATTCAAATGAGTTGGCAACCCTTGCCTTTCGCTTAGAGTTTGACAGAAAGATGAATCCGGCAGTTCTGTGGCCGCCGGTGGTATTTCTGGACGAGTACCTGTTATGACCAGAACTATGACCTAGAAGACCATGAGCGAATACTAACTTTAATGCGCTGGCTAATATGTCCTAATCGCACGTCAACAACAGTAATATTAACACCACCGGATCGGAAGATACGGGAGAATGGACTTTGGTAAGGAGCCTGTACTATCTACCTCAACATATTTACGGAAAGTGAGATTGCTGATGTGGTAGGCGGCTGTGATGATCATGGATTTCGGCATTGGTCATCGACGGGATTGGTTTCTGAACCTTGGTCGGCGAATCTGCTTTAATATCCATCTCTGTGACCAATATTGTGGTATCGTCAACATTTATTTTGTTTGTAGGGGCGTGATTTTACGTAGTGCCAAGCCCCACAATGCCAACATGCTGAATACGGAGTCTGCTACGTACGATGTGGTGATTTTTGCTGAGGATGAAGTGGTGCGCTTGATGTCGACGGTACTGGATGCAACGCACCTGCTTCTGCTGTATTTTGGCTGCCATACTGGACCAGGTCAGTGTCTTTATGGATGCTGATTAAACTCTGGTATTCTTCACTGACGTCTTTCAAAGTCATTCGTGGATCTTGTTCCAATCGACTTAACAGGCGTGTGTGTATGTTAGAGAATTTGTGGAACTGCAAACCAGAGATCAAAACTTTGAACTGGTCTTCTGTCGGCAGTTTCAATTTAAAACGTTCACACGTGAGACCTACTATGCATACCTGAGTGTGGATACCATCATTTTCGTTCAAAACTAGTTTCATCCAATGACATCGAATGTTGAATTAGGATCTGTGGTCACCAAAATGATTACGAAGGGTATGGACAGTTTCATCGAGTCATCGACCACTGGGATACTGTGGGAGAATTAAGCTGCAATATTTATCTACTTCATCTGCCCCCAATTTACGAAGTAGAAGCCATACTTTCTAGACATCAGCTTTTTCCGCAATGTCAAGTCGACATAGGTCTTCATATCTGCGAAGCCAAGTATCAAACGTCACGTTCGCATCTAGGTCATAAACAAATTCTGAGATGCTACTACCGGTGTTATTGTTGGCTGTAGATGAATCGACAACCCGTTTTACATGTAGACCAGAAAACAATTCCATCAATTTTAGCAGCTGCTCCATTAATTTCTCTAAATGCAGTGGATCCATCTTGAGCGAAACACCGCGAAAATTATGACTGGAAGTATGACCTAGTAGACTATGAGCGAATACTAACTTTAATATGCTGAATAATCTGTCCTAATCGCACGCCAACAACCACAACAGTAATAATATCTGTAGCAATTGATGGTCTATTCCATTGTCCTTTGAAACGATCGACTCACTGTTTTATTTGTTTGTCGTCTTTGGTAACTAGGTTCTGTTCACTATCTTTTAATAGTTTCTTATGTGTTGATCTCTTCCCTGATAGAGAACTAGTTATCTGGGGCCTGTTTTACCTGAGTTTTCAGTGTGTCGTAGAGTTGTCCTTTGTCTTGTCTGGTACCCTACTTCACTTCTTTATTCAGTATGTTATACATTGAACTCAGTTTCTCCTTCTGTTGAACATCCTTAAGTATACATAATCTGTTATATTTACATCTCTTATTGTTGCAGATCATCGTCCATAACTATTATCTTAATTTTTAAATAAAATGGACGACTAACGCGTAAAAAGGTCAACCCTGCCCACAGAAGCGACACGACCGAGTGTTACACACGGCATACTACAAAACACTAATTATCCCCTTGGAGCCAACCGAAACTACGACAATTGAGTGGCGAGGAAAATAAGCAAACGTTTCCGAATACTAGGAGCGTTTCCCTTACAATCAATAAGAGAAAACAAATAAGTTGATCTGGTTTGGGCCAGATTGTAAAAATGATACTGCGCACTGGATATCCCCTAGTTTTGTAGGTATTTTACAATCTGAAGTAATTCTACGTGATTTTACTTCTTTTATTTTTTCCTCAAGGGCTGAAATTCTCTCATAAGACTCTCACTGATAAGCATTTGTCGTTTAATTTCTACAATAAGAAGCCGAATTCATTTGTTTAAACGCACTTAACTCCAGTGGCCGCTACTCTCAAATATTTTGCCTTGGGCTAACCTTTTCGATTATTGCTACGCATGCAGGCCATCAAATGTGTAGTTGTTGGTGACGGTGCTGTTGGGAAGACATGTCTACTTATTAGTTATACAACTAATGCTTTTCCTGGCGAATACGTTCCCACTGTTTTTGACAACTATTCTGCCAATGTTATGGTTGATCAAAAGCCAGTAAATCTTGGCCTGTGGGATACTGCAGGTAAGTATCGCTAACGTGATTTAATTCTGGATGAGCTAACACAAGCATAAATTGTAGGTCAGGAAGATTATGACCGACTAAGACCACTGTCATATCCACAGACGGATGTGTTTTTGATATGCTTTTCTCTTGTCAGTCCCTCATCATTCGATAATGTTCGCATTAAATGGTACCCTGAAATATGTCATTATGCACCAAATACACCCATCATACTTGTCGGGACAAAAAAAGATCTACGAGACAACAGTGGCAGTTGTAATGGACCCAAAGTGACACCAATAACTTACCAACAGGTAGGTTTGCTATTTTGTTAATTTTACTTTACGGTTTCAAATATGCTTATTTGCAAAATGTCTGATCGAAATGTAGTCAGTGACTCAAAGTGTTAATGATGGTAGGAGGTTCCCCAGAAATAGATAAACTAAATGACGCTAACAATTTAATGAGCGTTGGCTGTTAGAAACCTTGCTCTGCTCTATCATATTTAGTTTTTCCTCTTGTTAGAATTGACTATTTTTGACCTACACGTGGTTATATCGAGTCGCCGATGTAATTCGTTAAGACACCTTCATTTCCTATAGCGTAGCCAGTAGTACACATTGCCATATTCGTTTGCTTATTAAATATGTCGCCGTATTCTCTAAATGACGTCAAGGTCACTAATGACTTGCAAGTTACATTTTATGGTCGCATTTCTCCTTTCGTGGTAGGATTTCATGGATATTCGACACGTTAAACCACTTCACTTGCAAGCGTTCTCTCGTGACAAACGGAGCTTCTGTTAGCTGCTCCTTCCACCTTGTCATATTAAGTCTGAATTCTTGTATGACTGTTTGCTTGCAATATGGTTGTAAAACTATACTTGAATTGGCTGTGAAGAGTAAGTTGTGCCCTAAACTTCATTCAGTGAGTGCTGTTTCGCCGAAATATCAAGTGAAGAAACATGCGGATGAGAGTGGCTCGTTGGCTTAAGCACTTGACTTTAAACCAGTAGGTCCGGGATTTGAATTCCACTCCACGAATTCCAACCTTTCCCAGCTGGGTAGTATCACCAGCCCTACATAATAAGTGTGACACAGTCTGGTAAATCCCATATAAATGGGGTTGTGTGCGACATTTTGTTAGTGTCCACTACTTAATTAAGTTCAAATTATGTAGATGACTGTTCGTGTTTCAACTGGTAAATTAGGTTTCATTAGCAACCTTGAATGCGTTATTTTGTTGTAATTCTTGTTGTCAAGTGTCCACTACCTGCCTTATGGCAAAATCTAGTTCCAAAGAGCGGGATTACTTGACTGAAATCTGAAATGAATTCAGTCATCATGTTGCTTTAGAATGTCATCTGAGTTACTTGTGAAGTTAACACATTTTGTAGTGTGGTGCCAAAAACACACTATAATATCAGGGGTCTGATTTGTTTTTGTCATCCTATTTTACTATTCGAACGCAATTTTGTATTCGAAACGTAATCTTGTTGATTTTATAGAACACATTTACAAAGCTTCCAACAAATATGTTTAGCGCATGTTCTAGAGTATTCCCTGTTTTGTAATACTTTTTAACGCTTCATTGTTCATAGTCAAACCCAAGTAGGACATGACTATTGGTCTTCAAAATCCTTTTGAAGTTATCGAGCCTGTTGCTTACTCGAATTGAAGTAAAACATCAGTAAAACATCTGATGGTTTACAGCAGTTTCGGAATAGTAATAAATTATTCTCGACTAGTTGTTGTATGTATGCACCAGTTTGTTTTATCAGACTGGTGTAGATCGTTATCCATATCATTATATTAAAGGGAATCCCCCGTCGGGGACGTCAGTCCGTTTGATCTATTGATCAGGCTAGAGTCAGGGCAAACAGAACCCGAAAACTAAGTTGGTTTTAGATTCTTCGATAGGTTTTGGAACGCCGACTTACTGGGGTCAGCATTAGATTCCTTTCTTTCAGGAGCATTCTTGCATTGTATGTGAAGGAAATACTAAGAAAGTCAAGGTACAGAATTCTACACTAATTTATTTGTTTTTGGGATGAGTCACACTGCATGAAGCCTGATACCACTGTCCAGACACCAGTAGGTGTAACAAGACGGTTTTACAAGATATGGATATCTTCGTTAAACGTTATTGTGTACAAGCAGTTTTATTTGGAGTAATCAGAAATGAGCACATCCATGGTTCTATGCAGTTCCTGCATACATAAGCGCGGTGAGAAGTAAACTGCTACAACAATGTAATTGGTATGAATAACATGAATGTTTGACGTAGGGCTTATTACAAGAGCACTCTAGAATGAAATGGAGGGAGGATGCATTGTTGCTCCGCTCATATGCTTGACTTGCAAGTGCACTTTGAGCGATTACTGGTGGCATTAATACGGTGAAATCTGGATGAATGAAGCAGAATCGAGGTCATTTGTTTTAAACAGTCAGTGATGCATCTTTGACGCTACTCTATCTACCAGGATTTACGTGACGAGAAAATTCCTTGAGAACACAACTGAGTTAAAAAGATCAATTAATACAGATTGAACAGTGCATCTACGTTTTCAGTGGCACAGACGCATCCACTATTTGTAATCTCCCATCTCCATTAAGTCCTTATTTGACCTTAATCCTTATTTTTACTTCGCATATTTCTGCTCATTATAGTTCTTTTGAATCCTTTTAAAATGTCTTTCCTCTGTCTTTGCTTAGTCACTCAGTACGTGATTGTATATTTGGTCGATAAGTTATGTTTCGTTTATGGGAATTTGTATGGGACTCCAGGGAGTTGTACTTCGGTAACCCTGACATGGGTCCAATTTCATTCCACTCCTTTTGATCTTGGTACTGTTCTAAACATAGTGACTCAGTCGTTAGCTGTTAAAGCTTAATACATAGTTGGTCTATAAGTGTTCGTTGTTGCAAATTGTTATCACATTTAACGAGGAATGTAGTTTGTGTTTAGCACTTAGAAGACGAAACTCATATACCTCTAGTCGCAGTAGGTTAATGTTTGACAAAACTTCGGCATAGGTTCAGAAAGTTTTTGTTTTCTGCTGGCGAGATATCTCACCAAACATTTAGCGTACCCCGCAACAATTCGTTATATCCTACTAAGCGTTTGTTACATTGGCTGAAAGTTCGTGAAGTACCAATCAACTCTGTGTTTGATACTTTCTTACCTTTGGTTGTTTACATGGCAAGGTGAAGTATGTGTTATCATGATGAAATACTGTCTGTGATTATTGTAGATGTTATAAAGAGGTCTGACGATGGATAGCTCATCCGTTTTATATAACTACGGAAGTATAATGGAATAGATTATAGCCTAGTTGTCCTGTGATAGTTTTATTTGAAATTGTTCCAGACTTTTACACCAGCACTGTATTTGTAGACATCTTGTTGATTTTTCCCTAAAGATATCCTTTGATAATATTATAGTCTCATCATTTGTCCTTTCTGTTTTGATCGTTCAGAAATTAACATAAAGTAAGGTCCAGTGATTCAAAAGTAATTCTTAAATGATGAATTCGTCGTTGACGCATCTCACTTGCATACATCATTCATCTTTTGCACTGACCACAATGTAGCAAGTGTATAAGAGAATCGATACTTTAATAAAGCAGAAGTAATTTTAATAAATTATGGGAGAGAATACAGTCCTAATGAATTAGTGCCAAAGACTACACAATGCACCGTTTGTCTACTATCTGCTGCAAGGATCAAAGGGAAGTACTAAAGTCGATTGGTATTCCATTTTGGTGAACTCCAGGTATGGTGTTGTTTAAGCTTAGTTACGTGGAACATATCTTTCATGTACCAGGCTATAGGCTACACTTGTTGCATAAAGACTGACTGATGATACTGCCCAGTTAGACAGCCAGGCTGAAGTGTATAGAGTGGGGCTCGAAAGCAGGACTTATTGACTAAAGGCTAGGTGCTTAAGTCAATGCACCATGTATTATAAGTTTCCGAATTGTTAGTGGTATTCTGTTGTCACGTGTTTATTGAAAGTGTGCAGCTGTGATCGATACTGTGATGACCTTTTTGTTAAAATTGCTTTTTAATTGTATCTTTGTTTTAAGCATGTGATGTATTGGTCTAAAAATCTGTTATGTCTGTTAGGATATTCCACAATGGGATAATCTATCTAGTAACCTTCATTTGTTATTTAACTCTTGCGTATAATTCATAAATAATTCACATTGTTTTTAAGGAAATATTTCCCATCGCCTTGTAAAGTATGCGAACATCGACTAACTTTAACAGTATACTACTGACATTTCACTTATTCAGTTGGAAATAAATGTCTCTAGATGTGTGTTGCGTTTGGTCTTCAAATAACCTGCAAGAGTGTCATGTTAATCTGTGATAGCACTCATTTTCCAACAGTAATTAAGTTCACTCATTTTGGATGTTGTAATAATTTATAAGGTTTAACCGATGGAAGCCTGAATGTTTTGACATACCCTAGTCTGTATCACGTTGAGCACCATCGCGGTGTAAATGTTAGTAAAAAAGTTGAATTCAGAACCCTTCTGAGTGACTGACTGGTTTCATTGTAGAACTTTGCACGAATGTGCAGCAGTTCGAGTTGCCACTCTCGCTCCATGTAGCACACAAAGCAAGAGAACAGTAAGGAGAAATTCAAAAGACAGAGAAAGAGAGATAATAAACAGAAGTGTGAGTGAGGGGAAGGGAATAGTAATATTGAAGAACAATGAATTTTTATGGGATATGATAAATCACAAAGAGTGAATACACCTGCGCCAGCCATCACCGAGAACGATTTCGAGCTAACTAGATCACCAATCGTTTCCAGCCTTCATTGGTTCTTGCCATCCTGAGGACCCCAACCAGACAGCAGTCGACACCTCCCTATGTGATTGGCTTAAACTAAGTAACAGCTATGGATTTCATTGACTCATGAATATATGTTTTCGTTTTACCATCACTGGCTATCTCTTTTCCAGCCTGATTCATCCTGTCATTCAGTTAACATCAGTCGTCGAAGGCGATTGATGGCTAGGCTAGGCATAAGTAACATATGTTCTAACCATCTTTCTCAATCGATGCAACTGCTTCACAACCTCGTCGATTGATTTCCCCTCCTTACCTGCCGCCTAGCACTCAACCGAAGCCTAACCTCAATATTGCTTACCCGATTATTTCACCACCTCACATATAGGAGATAGAATGCAGGCACCTATGATCAAACATAGCTAGCTGGTGTCATTCATGTCTTCCACTTTCAGTGACCGAGTCTTGCTCACAGCCATACGGGAGGACGGAGCGGACTACTGATCAGTACGCACACCCTTTGGTGAACAGTCGGATATCACGTCTACATCAGGGATGGCGTAAGTTGGCAGGCATATGCCACACGAGCCTTCAGAATAGTACTGACAGTAGTAGGGAAGCAAGATGATAATGAGAGGGATAAATGAGAATAATGATCAGGAGGGCTTCGTGTGCTACTGTTACTTTCCGGCTGCCCACACCGGGGAAGTTGATTTTTTCTTTGGATACCTAAAACAGAAGGCGAATTAGTGCTGTGTGACCGTAGAGCCCAGGGGACAACTGCTTATGGGTGGTCACACACGGACTGTTTGAACTGACCTTGAGGTTTGGTTCTGTATCAGTAACTTACCACCGGCTACGGACCGCAGGAAGTCGGGGATGTACAATTTTCGGGGCCGACCTTTTCTGATCCCCATAACCTCTCTCCACGGTGGAGAGACAGCATCGCTAGCTGGCATGCTGGTCATCTGAATGAGGGAAACACCTTACTGCTGTTACATCCCTGTTTCTCAACAGTACAGTTACGCCCACAGAACCCCGGCATAGTGTAAAACAAAAATCTTGCACTATGCCGGTAACTGCATTTAGTCTAATCGCTATCCTAACAATCTTCCTGGCATGGTAGGACCTGCAGGGACATTATTTCTAGCCAGTGTAGCTTGTTGGGTCATTGTGGTATGCAAGCTCGACCACGACGTCAAGGTATCAGCTGTCAGTCGAAACAGAACCCTTCTGTATAAATAATGTTCTGCTTAGTTTGTACTATTGTCTTCCAAGTTGAAAACTTTCAGCGTCTCAATGATGTTAGGTCACGATTATTATTATTATTATTGTTATTATTATTATTATTATTATTATTATTATTATTATAACTAGTAATACTCATCCGATAAAAACATGCATGTAACTTCTGAGATGTATAGTATTCCTAATGCGTATGAACAGAGAATGAAATTTCTGATCAATGATTTGACTTTTGTTTTTTTATTATTTAGGGATTGATTATGGCTAAAGAAATAAAAGCACAAAGGTATCTGGAATGTTCTGCTTTAACTCAGGTTGGATTAAAACATGTTTTCGATGAGGCTATTCGAGCAGTACTCCTGCCACCAAAGAGAAAGAAAAAACACAGTAGTTGTGAATTGGTATAATCCTTCCTATTGATTGATTAATTGGTGTGTTTAGCTATGCGAATGCTTTCGCAGTGGTGTGTGTGTGTGATGTGTTGTTCTCTGAGCTTATTATCTGTATAATTGATTCACGTTCAGAATCCTTTGTTTAAGTTTTGCCGTTAATAATATTACAATTATATGACTGACAATTTCATGGTGGGTATCTTTTTATCCGGTTAATATTTTACGAAACCAACAACAACAACCAACGTCCGCATAACTTATAATTTCTAATAAATTACAGCCTTAATCTCCTCTTCGCTTTCTCATTTGTCCACATCACATTTTTATTATTAATGTAATTTACTGTGGATGACAAGCTACTGTATGTAATATACTTTTTTTTAAAATGTGTATTTTAAATCGTAATCTCATAAAACAAGACAACAGTATTGAAGCTGAAATCAATTGACGTGATGTTCTTTTTTTCTCACGTCCCCACTGGTGGTTATGCTTCCGTTTTCCCTCTCTCTCTCTCTCTCACTTTTTCTTCATTGCCTTTTTTTACATCCAAAGAGGCTGCTATAAGGAAAATCCCATCATGTTGCTTATGTGAGATTGGCTCACCTTCAGTGTGTATTCGAATCGTTGCATTCTTTTCCTTATGCTAACAACAACTATCATTAACCATCCCCACAGTAAACAGACAATTTTTGCGCCCTATTTGTTTATCTTGTTTTTTTGTTTTTTTCTTAATAAACATTTATTTCTGTTACTGCTTGATTCAGCAATGTCTTAATTTCATCGCAACGGTATCCGCCCCGTCCCCGCCTTCATTGTGTCTATCATCGTGTTCACTTTCTTCTGAATAATCTATATCCCCCTACCTTTGTTTGTTTAATATTTGTCTTGTTGTAATTGTTTTCTTGTGTAATTTTGCTTTATTATTATTATTATTTTGAAGTTTTAGTCTGTGGTTGGTTGGTTTGTTTGCTGCTGCGAAATTCTTGCCTACATAATAAGCGCAAGTATGTACTGATCTTTTCTAGCTTTATCTACAGTTTATCATTTATTATAATCCTGATTTCACATGTAATATGCTATTTCTAGTATATTAATTACTACGGCAACCACTACACTGTATGTAATAAATATTACACTCACATGACACAGAATTACTAAGAGATGATGATGCTGATTACTACTCAAGTAAATCCACAGTCTACAGTGTTGTCACGACAATGAAACAATAGCAAATGTATAAGACGGAAGCAGTGTAGCGAACAGGTTTTTAATCTCCATGCATATATATATATATTTACATTTATATATTTATCATTAATGGGTTCGTTTTTTAAAAATTTTATCCTGTGCACACATAGGTACAGATTTATTTATATACTTACATGCGTTCAAATACACTTTCCCTTAATATCTCTCTCTCCCTCTCCTTTTAAGCAAAACCATTGTATTTGTGATTTGTTTTTTTTTGTTCTCCTTTTCACTTAATATTCTTCTGTGTATGTGAATTTAATTAATATTTTTCACATTTCTCCGTCTGCCTGTTTGCCTGTCAATCGGTTGGAACGACGATCAAGATTTTGATGAACAACAACAACTATCAAACTGACTTTTATTATAAATTTTCACTAACCATTTTGGTCTCACTTTTTAAAGCATTTTATTTAATATGATGAATGAAACGAACAGTAGTCAACACAATATATTATTATGTATGTCCTTGTCTCGTTTCATAGTTATTTATTTGAGGAAAAAAGAGGCAGTGGACGTCTTTTTTAAGCATTCATTTCATTAATCATGTGTACATGGTATTATGCGATAGTACGTGCATGTCTGTGAGTGACTGAGGTCTAATACGTATCTCATTAGGAGGTCGGTAGGGTGCTAGATGGTAACCATGATCCATCGGCCAACATTCGACTGTCTAGATTAATGATGACCACAATCAACTGTGCCATGCAGTTATTCATCAGATATACGCATTTGGAGTCTCATAGGTTCGAACCCAAGCCCTGCCAAGTATGGCTTACTAGCAGCAACTGCATGAAATTACAGTTGGTTATTGTGTTACATTTCATTTTGATATAATGGAGAAGATTTGTAGCCTAGGTGGATGATTTTGATATAGTTGTGTTATATGTCAATGTGCCTGTGTTAATTGTATGATTTACTGGAATACCAGGCTTCCAGAAATTCTCTGGCGTTCTTGGTGTTTTTCTTTTTCCTAATATCTGAACATTGTCCCAGTCAAATTAATGTCCGTGTTCGTTTGTATGCAGCGATATGAGGGAATGGATATCATGTTTTTTTGACGACTAGTTTGTGTTCATGGATGCGAAGACGAAGAGGGGGGCGTCCACTTTGGCCAATGTAGTGTTTTTCGAAGTCGTTACAATTTATTCTGTAGATGATTTTGGTTTTGTTATTCTCCAACCGTTTATATTTCTGT